TGGCTTATTTTAACTACTTGCTTTTATTGCATTTTGCGTAAAAAAGGTTTTAGCGAAAACGGTCAAACAAATGAAACTTAATAAAACCTAAGAGAAAAATCGTTCCAACTGCCTAACTAAAACTCTTAGTTCTGCCCACATAATTTTAGCCCATTGATGAATAAATTTTCTACACAATTAGTTAGTTTTTAGTACATACTTTTATTGTATTTTGTCTAAAAAAAGGCATAAACAAAACAGTTCAACAAAAAAAAAAACAGTAGCAATGTTGCTGGTATTTGAAGACATGATGCGTGTATAGCCTTTGTACACCATATTTCGTTAATTTCATATGAAGATGAATCGTAATTTATAAAGACCTTTTCTCAAAATTAAATTCTTTAGACATATTCATGTATATTGTTAGTATCTTGTATATATTCATCTCGATCCTGATACCTACGGAGCCTGGGATGACAAACATTTTCTCAACTCTAAGACATCCTTTTCCCTAGGGTATAAGCTCTAACCATACAGTATATATATACTGTATGGTTAGTGGGATAAGGTAGGGTTGCCGGTAATCAATGTTGTCAACCGGTTATTCACCAATAAATACTCGTTTATTATCTTCCGTCGAATATTCTCAGCTATATAGATCTCTCAGTTTTGCCCAGATCATTTTATATGGTTGATGAATCAATTTAAATCAGGATTAGCTACTTTTAAGTACTTGCATGTTTTTGTTTTGAAAAAAAACACGGTTTTAGTCGCAGTGCTGTGACGTCAATGCTGCTAATATTTGCACTCATTTGTTGTCAACCAGGGTATAAACATTTGTAATTAATAAAGACCTGGTCTTAGATTTTTTGTCTATTCATGCATTTGATTAGATTCTTGCTCATAAATCCTGATCCCAGTAACAGTTCTTGGTATCTGTAAGAAGAATAATAATTTCAAAATATCGTTTAAAAAAGAGACTGACTAGTTTCTGTATTAATTAGAGCCTGGGATGACAAATATTTTCTCAGTTCTATAACATCTATTTCCCACAGGGTATGTGAACATGGAATTAGCAACATGTGTGCGTCAACCGGGTAAAAGAGGTCCTTACCCGATTCAAGTTCTGTTTTTTTTTTTTTTATCTGGACGTTGACATGCAATGACTGCATCTTTCAAGAGGCGATGCAGTTACTGCACCGGCAAGTGGCCCGTGTGACACCAGCAGAAGGCTGTTACGCGCGGATCCCAGGCAAAACGCAGCCCTCCTCGCGCCCAACCGACCGAGGGGCGCTGCCGCAAGACGCGCGGTGCGTAGCCAAACCAAACGCGAACATGCAAGAAAGATAGCTATTAGACTAACATTCGAGGAAAATTAGCACTACACTTACTAAGAAACTAAGCATGCAATCAAAATACAAATACCACTACAGTTACTAATTATTAGAAAGGTGTGTAAGGATTAATAATTTAATAAGAGGAAGAGAATTAGTATTGGATATAATATGGTAGAGGGAATTATAATCCGAGCATAAGACCCTAAACGGTTCATGCAAGGAATAATTCGATCTACAAAGTGGAAGGAACAACGGTATAAAATTTCTAGTCAGTCTAACAGGAATCGTGAAGTTTATGCGGCTCAACAGATCAGGGCTGTCTATGTCACCCCTGATCAAGTTGTGCATAAATATCACACCAAGCATTATTCTACGGTTAACTAAGGATGGGAGGTTTACTAATAATAGTCTACTAGAGTAAGATTCTTAAGAGTCTTACACCCGCATCCCAGTTAAGGCCCCGCAGAGCAAAGAGTAAAAAGTTTTTCTGTACTGATTCTATACGGTCCTGGTGTACTTTGTACTGAGGGCACCATACACAGGAGCCGTATTCTAAGATCGGACGAACAAGCGAGGTATAGAGAGTCTTTCTTATATAGGGGTCGTCAAATTCCTTTGACCACCTCTTTATAAACCCAAGCACGCCCATGGCCTTATTTACCATGGTAGAAATGTGTTCGGAAAACTTTAACTTGGGGTCTAACATAACACCCAGATCATCCACCAGGGTAATTCTCTCAAGATAACCGCCAAATAGGGTGTTGGGAGCCAACAAAGGGCTAGAACGATGAAATGTCATAACTTTGCATTTCGAGGCATTAAGGTGTAACAAGTTTGCACATCACCATGACTGAAAGCTATTGAGATCGGATTGCAAGCGAGAATGAAATGAAATGTCCTTGTACTGGACACAGAGCTTAACATCATCCGCATACATAAGTACTCGAGAGTATGTTAATACTGAAGGTAAGTCATTAATAAAGAGTGTGAAGAGTAAGGGGCCTAGATGGCTGCCCTGTGGTACTCCCGAAGAAACCTTTACTGGTAAAGAGAGGGAGTTTTTGAAGAGGACTCTTTGAGACCTAGAACAAAGATAGCTAGAAATCCATCTCAGGAGGTTGGGCGGAAACCCTAAAAGGTCAAGTTTATGTGCTAAAAGGGAATGGTTTACAGAGTCGAATGCTTTACTAAAGTCAGTGTAAATAACATCCGTCTGTAAGCCTTTAATAATGAAAGAGGTAAACTCTAACAAGTTCGTGGTGGTTGATCGTGATGGTTATCCATGCTGAGTTGGAGATATAAGTGACTTGCAGAGATGTTGCAAATGCGGAGATAAAACCTTCTCAAAAAATTTGGGAATAGCGGATAACTTTGCTATACCTCTATAATTTTTTGCATCAGACTTGCTACCTTTTTTATGGAGAGGAATTATAAACGATTCATTCCAGATTGGGGGAAGCAAGAGGAATCAATGGACAGGGTGAATAGTTTAAGCAATGGTCCACACGGAGCCTCGGCGCAGTACCTGAGTACACAACCTGGAACCCCGTCTGGACCCGGTGAAAACACCGGTTTAACTTCGAAGATCATGAAGTAGGGAATATTCATTTAACAAGGGACTGAAAATGCCGTTCGACCTCGGTAGCTTTCCTCAGAATAGGTAGTTTGGAAAAACTGGGCAAAAAGATCGGCAATTGCCTGATCATTATTTGCCGACGTATTACAAAATGATAGCGAGGATGGGTGTGCGGACGTTCTACGCTTACTGTTTACGAAGCAGTAAAACTGTTTAGGGTCCTGAGAAAAACGTATCCTGCAACGAGATAGGTAGTTCTTATAGCATTGAGCATTTGACCGAGCTATTACATAACGAGAGTGAGAAGTAGGAGAGCCCACTTCTTGAAATTTTTTATAAAGTCTTGATTTTAAGATTTTTAGACTGGATAACTCTTTGGTAAACCAAGGGGGTTTTCCAGATCTAATCGGACAAGAAAGCGGGACACAAGAATCAAAAAATGTGCCAAGAGCATTGTAAAAAATGTTTGTGCCTTTTGTGACATCAGTGCACAAGTACAAAGCGGACCAATCAAAATCCCTAATTAGGTTATTAAGCTTCGCAAACTCGGCTTTACGAAAGCAGCGGACACGTTCAGGTAGTCTACTCGACCGATCCAATACAGTTGGTCCTATATCTAGCGACACCTCGAAAGTAGGGTGGTAGGCGTCTTCAGGTATAGTGAGCGGAAGGGCTCGGGTTAACAACACTATGGTCGGATCCGATACAAAGCATAGATCAAGGAATCGACCCAAGGAATTTTTCACATGATTGACTTGAGACAGGGACAGGTCAAGCAAGCCGTCAACAAAGTCATGTCGTGACATGGGCACTAGGATACTAGACTCGTTTACCGAAGACCAAACAGTTCCTGGCAAGTTGAAGTCACCAAGAACTATAATACGATCTTTATCAGATAGCGAGGAAGAAACAGCGGTTAAAGCGGACAAGTGCTGCTCATAAATTGAAATTTCCGAAGAAGGTGGGATATACGAGCAAGTAATGAATATAGCGAAAGCGGGAAGAATCAGTTTTACACACAGGAATTCCAGTTCCTGTTGAACTTGGACTGTGAAGTGTTCTGACGTGAAGTAAGAGTCCACCGCAATAAGACCCCTCCTGCACGTCGAGACGAACGGTCCTTTCTAAAAGTTGTGTACCGACCTGCCAAAACCTCGGAACTTAGAATGTCCGGCTTTAACCAGGTTTCAGTAAACACAATAACGTGGGAAGCAAATGCAACACTATCCTGGAAAAGAATGCTGAGCTTACTACGCAAGCCTCTTACATTCTGATAGGTTACTAAAAGAGAAGTTAGTTTTTTGGAAAGGTTGGAGCAAGACGGGAAGTTGAGGAAGAGGAAGTTGAGGTTGGGGGTGGCACGCTGGAAAGATTTGTAAGCGATATGGGGGGCCTACTCTTCTTCTTAGCCTTAAACTCCTTCACCACCAAATGCTCCGGCCAAAATTTGGTGGAGCAAATGGTGTCAAATTGAGTTGGAGAGATGCTTATCTTAAACAAGGCTATCTCCCTGGCATAAGAGAAGTTAAATTTCACCTTTAAACCCACGGCTTTTATTTTGCTTTGAATAAAAGCAATTACGTCATTAGATGTGAGGTCAGGGTTCTGTTATCGTATCGACTGGATACGAGTGGTGCGCGCCAAATATAAATTTTTTGAATGTGAACGACAAGCATTTAAATGTTATCAACCGGGCCGTCGTTGTTATAAAATCGGAGTAAAAAAGACCAATCAGGTTTTTAAGTACTAGATTCATTGTGCCAAATTTGTTAATGCCCCATCACAGAATACATATGTCTAAAAAATTATTAATTATAATTAACTTGTCAAGATATGTATCTTCATGACCCTGATTGGGATAACGTCTATTCCAGACCTCCCAGTGTTTGCCAAATCAATGATCATGTGTAAAATCGATCTCCGGACTGTTGTGAACACTATAAATATTGTAAGCTTGTTGGTTGCAATCACAGTTGAAAAACAGATCTTCGCCGGGAACAAGTCGTTAAATCTTTAAAAATGACAAAGGTGTGATGACGAGAGGAAAGGGTGTAAATGCGCAAATGGGTGTAAAACATTTTATGTTCCGTTTTGCTTACAGACATTTGCTGTGCTTTCAGTGCTGGCTCTTTTAGCGTCATCTACATTTGCAGGACCCGTGGGAGTAAGTGAAAAAATTATAGTATATCACACCATACGGACCAATTCAACGTAGATCGATTTGTTTCTTCCAAGAGGAAAATTTTCATGTCCGAGGGTGACCTCTCTACTGCCGACTCTGTCAGCTATGGCTACTATGCGGCTCCTATTCCAGCTTACGGATACGGAGGGGGATATAAGTACGGAGGATACAGCGGCTACGGTAGATATCGCAGCTACGGAAGCTACTATCGTCCACCAATTTATCCAGTCTGGGGCTAAGGCTAATCCCTGAACATCACCCTTAAATGAACACTAGCGGCTTTACCACTATTGTAACCAAAGAAGTTGTGTAAACGTACCAAAAATACTGGCATTTGGGATGAAGTTTTTGACCCCAGAAACAATTAACACCGCCCCGGCATAATCGCAATAAAAGCAAAACATCTTATATATATGCTTTATTATTTTTGCTACACTTAGCTCGCCAAAACCGGCTTTCGAGACTGCCAGCGCTTCCGAAGAAACATAAACAGAAAGCCGGGTTGGCCAAGCGTAATTACACATTTGAAACCCCCGACCCGACCTGGAGCAGGGGACTTGCTTGGACTTTTCCCAGCCAATGCTTTTACGGCACACACAGCCAACGCAACCAATCTTCGCGCATTCAAAAAAGGTTGCGCGAAATAACAAATTTTCGTGAATTCAACTACTGCTTCTCCAGCTTTATTGGGGCCTATGGATACATCTTATGTACAAAGAATTTACTGGCTAAAAATGGCGACGCGATCCCGAGTGGCGCTTCTGGTGGTGGGTGCCATCATGCGACTGGTTGCGGTTCTTCGATCGTTGATTGCTGGGAGCATGCAGGTGTCGATGCTTCTTTTGGCCCTGCACTGACTTGGTTGCCTTACTCTGTCCCGGCTTCTTGTGTGACGCGGATTGGGTGTGCTGCTTGTGGACGTGTGAAGTGATCGCAGGAACTGCGAGCTTGCCATGTTGGATGTGCTCCTGATCGTGTGAATGATGTTTAACTGTCTTCAGATGCCCGTTGCGAGTATGGTGGGCCAGCTGACGATGGTGTTGGTTTTCCATCGATGCATCCGGATGCATAGCCAGGGCCACGACCGCCAAAAGCGTTGCCAATATAATAATCTGGAGCAGCGATCGGATACAATCAAAGTGATTCAAATAAACAAAATCGAAAAAAAGGATTGAAAGTCAAGCAAACGCTTATCTATGTTGATAAGATAAGGTCCCGTCCCATCTCTTTCCGTTTCCCCGGTCACATCAAACACTTACCTCCTTGAACATTGTATCGCTATATATTGTGTATGCTGTCGGTCAGCTTTACAGAGTTTCTGCGTCGAGTGGTGCAAGCGATTTGACGTTCGAGACTCGACTGTTTTTCGGAAACTCTTTCATTCCAGGTTATATCGTTATCTGTTATATACCCCGGTATACACGACACTCTGCTCAGAACCTCATATGTACATATATTTTAGTTGAGCTCGTCAGAGTTTTATCGCATATAAACTCAATATATGTGCTATGAGGAGTACATACATATGTATGTACATATATACATAACAATATGGAGTCGTTGAATTTTCCAATGTACAACAGCAGAGGAATTTGCTCTAGAGCTTAAAAACTTTAAAGCAACACATAAATAAATATATATGTATATATGTATACCGTTTGTGCATACATATACTCGTATACACATGAGTGCACGCATGTACGCCGAATAGTGTTATTTTCCCGCTGGCCATCTCATCTGTTAGGTCGCTTAGAAATTATTTGTACTTGGCGAAATCTGAAGGTAATCCGAAAAAGCTTAAAAGATATCATTGCAGTTTCAAACGGTAAATTGCCCAAAAGCTATAAAAAAACCTAAAAATTTGTAACATGTGGATTTTATGTGGATATGATTTCCTTTCTTCAAATAAATCACGACACTTCAACAGGAAGAAAGAATATAAATACAATACAAATGAATGCTCTTCCAGAAACTGCGAGACCTATGAGTAATTCTTAGTTCACAGCGGGCTATGGTTTCGTCTTTGGATGGGTCAATCCAAAGCGAAAGATACAAACTGTCCCTCCCTATTTTTTGATAATAACGGGTGTCTCCATAGGTGCAGCGATCAGATTGATCAGTTCCTCAGGCAGTAAATTCTTTGAAGGAAAATTAAGCCCAGCCTGGACTAAGGACAATCTAGAAGAGGACAATCCTACTGGGCTCATCGATCTCAATGGACTATTTTACGGGTATGGGCACGCGTTGCATTCCACTGTTAGCGCTGACTCGGGATTGGTTGTAATATTAAAATGAGAAGGTAATGAGAAGCGAACCACTTGAGAATTTTACTGCGTATTTGGCCCCCTGCGTTATTATCGATACGAACAATAACGTGCGAAGCAAACAATTACTCCCATTTGATTGATTTTTTTGTTGAATCTATTGATTTATAGTTTTATTAATATTGTATCTGCATATATAGTATGTATTTACTGGCGTAGGTGCACTAGCTTATACATGAATATGTGTGTTTCCCTTTGAGTGCTCCTTTGCAGCTGTTTCTCATTCTCTTCGCAAAACGGTGTACAAAATATTAATAAAAATATAAATAAAATATTTGATAGTATACAAAAAACATGGGACTACTTGTATGATTCATTCCCAAATGGTTAAATATAAGTAATAAATGAAATAAACTGATTGAAAAAAAACATGGATATAAACAAAAAGTGAAAACATAAATCCAAAAATATTGGTTAATTCACAAATAAACTTATGATTAATACATAGTTGTTTTTTTTTTAATTTTTTAGTTTTTAAATTTTTTTTACATTTTTGCTGGATATTTTTCGGTTATAGTTTGATGTAATAGTTTACGACAATTTAGCTTGCTCTTAACGTGGCTTGCGCAAATAGATTAGTAGTGGGAATTATAGAACGACTACCACAATAATTCGGGCCGCTCTGAAGACGAGTTAAAAACGATTTTCGGTTACATATACACCAAGATTTGAATAAAATGTTTGCTTTCGTTGAACACATTGGGGACAATATGTCGTCAGTATGTATATGTTGTGTGGCGTGATATCTGGGGATGCTGCTACGTATATTGCAGTTTGTGGATATACATATTAGTGTTGTAATAATGTAAAGGTTATGGTTTGCTTCGGAAATCGTTTCTCGCGCCGTAGAACTACCCCTCGATGGTGTATAGGAAATAGTAGTTATCCTTGTCATTTATGGCCGATGGTGGGGCCTGTGGTGCCTTTCTAGACATTGGCTCAAAACCCATAAACAAAAATGCCTCAATCAAACGTGTGCGCTCCGGATGGTCTTTGCGCATGGCCATTACAATGCCGTCCACCTCAAGCTTATCCTCGGCAAACTCCAGCAAGGAGAGAAAGGTCTCCTTGGAGCCAGCTGGTGGTAAATCCTTGGGGAAGGCGACATAAAGCATGTTGTTGACTGGGTTCAAAATCGACATCCAATTCGTATACTGGTCTTCGGTCACATGCAGCTTGATGGAAATCTGCACCGGTTGGTCATGCTGCAAGATCTGGCGTAGTACTTCCTGGCAATCATCGTCCGAGCACAACGAATGGATATCGTTGTGCGACTCCGAGTCAGAGCATTCTGACGAGGAGGAGGGCGACGAAGACCGGGAACTGACCTCGTACAAGCTGCCACCAGCCGAGTCGACCGAAGACTTACGGCTGTAGCCTGTGAAATAAATGAACAAATTCAGATGAGGAACACAAATCTCCTTCTCCATTTGCAGGGCTTACCCGTTAAGAGCGATGCCCTATCGTGATCTGTTCTGTGGTGGACAGGGACATCAGGACCACCACAGAGGCCCTACGCCAAGAGAGATGCGGTAGGACTCATTCGACATGTTCGTGGCGCAAGACGAAGTCGAAATGGTGCGGAACTTGCCATCGGCAATTCCGCTATCATTAAAATCTCTTCTAACAATACTACTAAACATTGGGTCGCTGTAAACGAGAAGAAAGGCACATTAAAAATACAAAAATTAGTTTTAGTCCCTCTACTGAATGGAGTGTGCCTTCGTTGATTTTGTAGAGGCAAAATTTACCAAATCATTTTGGAGTTAATTGGTGGCGAGAAACACTGCTTAACGGCGCAATAGCTGAGGGCAAAGTAATAGCCACAACGCCAGTACTCTTATCAGCAATATGAAAGCAATTCATTTAATAATCTCCTCTCACGACAAAAGTACGTATGTATGTGCATTAACAAGTAAGTGTAAGTGTTTATATTTCAAAGATTAGATACGCTCGCGCCCTTATCTAAGTCGAGGGCTGACTAACGATAAAAATATATCGATAGGGACGTGAATGTCGTGAGGCTAATACAACCGTGCGCTCACGCGCACAACATGGCGGCTGGCAGCTGTCAAAACCGCGCCAGACACATACACACACAGACACTCGCCTCGTAAACGTTTGAGAAAAGAAAATTCGTAAAAATATTTCATCAGCGTCGAACTGCAGAAAAATCAATAATTAAAAGCTAAAAACGTTCGGAAAACACATAAAAATAACGCAAAAATGTCAATCGGTGTGCCCATTAAGGTTTTACATGAGGCCGAGGGCCACATAATCACTTGCGAGACGATTACCGGCGAAGTGTACCGCGGCAAACTCATTGAAGCCGAAGACAACATGAATTGCCAAATGACACAGATTACAGTCACCTACCGCGATGGACGAACCGGCAATTTGGAGAATGTCTACATTCGTGGCTCGAAAATCCGTTTTCTGATCCTTCCGGACATGTTAAAGAACGCACCGATGTTCAAGAAACAGACGGGGAAGGGCCTGGGAGGAACGGCCGGCCGCGGCAAGGCGGCCATTCTGCGTGCACAGGGTGAGTAGGCGGCTTTTGTTTTGCCGCGCGGCGCGTCACTTCAGTTTGCATATTAACGTTTGGTCGATTTCCAGCTCGAGGTCGGGGCAGAGGCGGACCTCCGGGCGGAGGACGAGGTAGTGGCGGACCACCTGGTGCTCCAGGCGGTGGCGGACGTGGAGCTTGGCAAGGCGGACCCACCGGCGGACGTGGACGCGGCGGTTTGTAAGGCAACTCAAGGATTCAAACTATGCATTACTAATATATAAGTTGAGGGCGTTCTATTATTAGCGGGCGGGGCGAAATTGTTGAAAGGCAACACAATTGTAAACTATGTATTTTGAGAATCAAGAAGATAACTTTTGCTATGAATACAGAAAGAACCTTGAATATGAAAACCGGCCTTATTGTATTATTGTGGCCTGCAGAAAAGGAAGAAAAGTAGTTAAGCCAGCCACCGTTTGGACGAAGTACAAGTTACGAAACTATGCACATGTGTCGGCGCTTTTCGAATATTATACAAAGAGAGCAATTCCATGACAGTATTACAATCTGATTAACTTGACTGTCGACGGATAGCTCTCTTTATTTCACTATTCGTTCAGTATTATACAGAAAAGGGGAGGGGACGACAGACAAAAGACAGATTAGCCCAGACAGATATACAACTGTTAGTGGATTTTGGAACACATTTGGTTAGTTCTGCGCAACGTCGAATATTATACAAAGAGAGCAATTCCATGACAGTATTAAATTGGTACGTTGACTGTCGACGGACAGCTCTCTTTATTCACCTATTCGCATTCGTGTTTTGTGTTCTTCTCGATTGTTAGTCGAACATTAAGGGGGACGAGACGGAACGGGACAGCACAAACAAGCACACCACCTACATATGTATGAATGTATTATTGCTTGCCGGCTGACCGGGCATACGGGGAAATATGCAAAGTATTTTGTTTTTCTCATCCATGCCCGCCAACCAATTAAATCGGCAAACTGCGCACTTGGCAAGGCATTTCAAATTGAGAATGATGGCCAGTCAAAGCGAAAGCTCCGAGTCTACCCCCACAGGAGCGGGCGAAGAGGTGACAGTGTAATATCCCACTGGATGCAATTCTCGGATGCATGGACATCAAAAAGATAGAAACTGATGGGGTTTCACTGTAATGCCATCGAATGGTATATGTACCTTTTAAGGGGATGGACGTACCACTGAGTCAGGCGCTCTGGCTGCATGTTGGTCGATGTCATTGATATGGATGGGCTGGGCACAATTGGCGTAGCTATTTGTACGGAAAGCAATCACAGCTTCAGTTGGCTTCCACTTAACGGTTTTCTTATCACAGATTAGTTGCTGGTGTTCCTTATTGAGGCTTGGGGTTTACATCGAAAGATCTTATCCGGATTCAGTTTTCTCCCTCCGTTTGCGTTTGTTCTCTTGTCTGAAGCTGAATTGTTTCCCGTGGCGCAGCGTTGAGCGTTGGCTGGCAACTGACGACATACACACG